AGTCTCCCTAAGTTAAAGGAGAAGCACAAATTCAATTAAGATAAATATGACCCAAGGAATCAGGGGCTGGATAGTTAATCAGACGTCACCTAACAAGCAGAGGAGAAAGGTTCATCTACAAGGCACAAAATACTTGCAATCTGAGTTCTTAAAGTACACACGGGCTTTTTAAAAAATAAAAAATAAAAAAAAGGAAAAAAAACATTGTAAATTCATTCCTGGGACCCCAAGTTGTGTCGTCAACCCTCAACGCTCCCTCCCCTTCACCCCCGCCCCAACATCTAAATCTCCAAACTGCTTTCCCAGTCGAGGCGACACACAGTCCTAAAAGACCTTCTGTATGAGTGGAGTTGCAGAGGTGACCTTCAGTAAACCGGGACAGCTCGTCTTTCCCTGGGGACAGGAGAGAGAGGGGCGCGCTGGGGACAAGGCTCCTTCCCACAAGCCTGCCCACGCAACTGTGTGCGCGCACCTTCTGAGCCGCGGCCGACCGAGAGGCGCCGAGGGCCGCCCAGGCCAAGCGCTCGGGCTGCAAGGAAACTCCCAACCTCCGGCGGGCTAGGGCCTCGCGACTTCACAACCAGAGGGCGGAAAGCGAGAGGGATGCGGGGTGGCGGCGTCAGCAGCCTCACGAAACCTACCATGGGCCCAGCAGGAAACAAGGCCTCAACATAAACCCCGGCCACACTTACACTGCCCAACAGACCAAAGACTCGAGGGGAGAACAAAACAAGGAGAAAACCCGAGGCCTGGGAGAGCGTCCCTTGTTTCGGGGCCCAATAGGAGCACAGGGAGAACGGGGGCGGGTGTGCAGCGCGTGCCGAGGATCCCCGGGCGCGCCCGCGAGGCGCACACGGAGGGGCGCGGGGACGCGTGCGCGCGGCCCAGAAGGGATCGGCGCCCACGTACCTGACTGTAGCACCGCGTAGGACCCGCGGTCGCCTCCAGCGACTGCGGTAGCAGAGGGGCACGGAGGGCAGGGTAGGCCGCGGCGGCTACGGCCGCGGCAGAGGTGGCCGCAGGGGAAGGCCCCGCCAGCCTCCCGGTAGGCACAGGCCCGGTCTGGAGGCCACGCGTCTGGGAGGCGGCGGCCGCGGCGGCCCCGAGCAGCAGCAGCAGGCGGCGACGGCCCGAGACGCCCGACGGGAATGAGCCAGCGGCAGAGTAGAATGGCAGGCAGGCGGCGCCGGTGCGCTGGCAGCTGCTGCAGTTACAGCCGCAGCCCCGGAGCAGCGCCCCGAGTACCCAGCGCGTGCCGGCCATGGACTCGCGAGGCGGCGCGGAGCCTGTAGGCAGCTGTGGCTGCAGCGCGAGGGGAGCGGAAGTGGAATCCAGGGCCGGTGGGGGTTGCCGGACACATGCGCCGGGCACAGGGGGCAGCGGTGAGTCGGCAGGAGGCGGAGGAGAGCGCGTCTCTCCTCCAGGTCTCCGCCCTCAGGGCGGGGCTACCCGCGGATAGGGAGGGGCCCGGGGAGCGGGTGCCACAGACCTGCTGCTCTTTTAGGCGGTGGAAACTGAGGCCCAAAAAAAGTGAGGCTAGGGGCTGGGCGCCGTGGCTCATACCTGTAATTCTAGCACCCTGGGAGGCCCAAGGTGGCAGATTGCTTAAGCTCAGGCGTTCTAGACCAGCCTGGGCAACGCAGTGAAACCCCGTTTCTACTGAAATACAAAATATTAGGCCCGGTGCGGTGGCTCACGCCTGCACTCTCGGAGGCTGAGGCGGGCGGATAACCTGAGGTCAGGAGTTCAAGACCAGCCTGGCCAAAATGATGAAACCCTGTCCCTACTAAAAATACAAAAATTAGCCGGGCGTGATGGCTCACACCTGTAATCCCGGCTACTCGGGAGGCTGAGGCAGGTGAATCGCTTGAACCCAGGAAGCAGAGGTTGCAGTGAGCGGAGATTGTGCCACTGCATTCCAGCCTGGGCTACAGAGCGAAACTCCATCTCAAAAAAAAAAAAAAAAAGAGGCCAGGGCCATCCTGCTCTGGGTAGGGCCAAGACCTGGAGTGCAGGTCTGTGCGGCCCCACGCTCTACCACCAAATCCTGTGGTGTAAGCGGCTAAGGAGCTGTTCTGAAAGGAATTGTGATACTAGTCACAAAAAATCTTTGGGATAATATCAGAGATTTGGTACCCCCCCAAGTCTGAGGAAAGGAAAACATTCTTCGTTGTTTTAAAATGAAATATAGGCCATGGCTCAGGCCTGTAATCCTAGCACTTTGGGAGGTTTAAGTGAGAGGATCACTGGAGCCCAAGAGTTCCAGACCAGCTTGGGCAACATAGGGAGACCCCGTCTCTACAAAAAATTTAAAAAGCCAGGTGTGATGATGTGGGCCTGTAGTCCCAGCTACTTGGGAAGCCCAGACTGGAGGATCGCTTCAGCCCAGGAGATGGAGGCTGCAGTAAGCTGTGATTGCCACAACTGCACTCCAGCCTGGGTAACAGAGTGAAACCCTGTCTCCAAATATATATATATATAAAATATATTTTTATATATATTTATTTGTATCATGTTGATCATGTGCATAACAAAGGTGAACCCTCCCCTAAAAAAACTGTATTCACAAGTGAACAGAGATTTATATACACACACACAAAGACTGGTTGTGCAGCTTTCCTCCTCCTGAGGCCAGAACCTGTCAAAGACAGATAAGTACAAGGAAGTTGTTATACTCTAACAACAAAAATAAGAGAAAGCTAATATTTTTAAAAAAACTTTTTACTGTGGAAAATGTCAAACAGAAGAGCAGAATAAATTTCAGGAACTTCATAAATTGTCAACACTTTTCAATCTTGTTTCATCTATCCCCTACCTTCATCCTCCAATCCTTATTTTCTTTGCTAGAATATATTAAAGCATTACATTTAAAGTATTACACTTAAAGTTTGATTTGTTTAACACAGAATACTTTTAGGTAAGGAAAGTTCAGTATTTCTTAGAAAACCCTTTTCCCAACCAAAAAACAAAGAACAAGAAAAAATTGATAGGCTTGGTTCTGTGAACCTGGAGTATCAAAGAGAAGGGGGCTCACTTGTTTTCTGGGTTAAAACACAGTCCGACAGAGTATTGTCATTTTTGTACAAAAACAGGGACAGAAGAAAAGGCAACAGTGCAAATACTCCATCCTCCAGGAAGGCAGGCAGGGATGCCTCAGTGTTAAAATGACAGAAGAAAACCCCAGAGCAGGAACCACGAGCCCCTCATAGGAATCCCAAAAATGTCCAGGACAGCCTGGCTGAGAGAGTGAGTGTGGGAAGGGCAGGTCCCCAGAGGACAAGTCCCATACCCTCTGGCTGGAGACTAAGCCCTGGCCCCATCCCTGCCAGCAGTCCTCACCTTCCTTTGGGGTGAGAGCAGGTACTAAGGTGAGGCTGGTTTTTGTTCCCTACTCCTTCTTTGTGATTTGTTCTTAGATACCTGCAAAGGAGCCAACTGAGGCCTCAGGGATTGAGGACCCTCTGGAAATATGGTTCCTGGGAATGGGCCTGGATGTAGAAGCCACTGGATGTCTCTTCCCTGAACAGTTACTTTGTTCGTCAGTCACCCTTTGGCTTTCTAACTTTTTTTTTTTTTGAGATGGAGTCTCGCTCTGTCAACAGGCTGGAGTGCAGTGGCACGATCTCGGCTCACTGCAACCTCTCTCTCCTGGTTCAAGCAATTCTCCTGCCGCAGCCTCCCAAGTAGCTGGGACTACAGGCATGCACCACCATGCCCAGCTAATTTTTGTATTTTTGGTTTTACCATGTTGGTAAGAGACAGGGCTTTACCATGTTGGTCAGGATGGTCTCCATCTCTTGACCTCATGATCTGCTCACCTCAGCCTCCCAAAGTGCTTGAGATTACAGGTGTGAGCCATCGTGCCCAGCCGACCCTGGAACTTTCCAAGGAAAACAAAGAACAGGCTAGACTTCCTTGCCCCAGCCAAAAAAGAGAAAGGGGTTTCTTCATCTGTAAGATTTGGGAACCCTAGAGTTATTAATTTATTTATTTAGAGGCAGGGTTTCGCTCTTTTGCCTGATCTGGGGTGTAGTGGTGTGAATATGAGTCACTGTAGCCTTGACCTCCTGGGTTCAAGTAATCCTCCCATCTCAGCCTCCCAAAGTGCTGGGAATTCAACTGTGAGCCACCACACCTGGTGTACTTTTCTTAAGCCTCCTTTTCAAGACGGAAAATGGTTTAGCCCTTCCTAACAGATCATCACTACAAATAACAGGTTGCAGATATATTGGAGACTGTGCCCATATTTACTCTTGCCCTCATTTTCTTAGCAGAAATAGCAACAGTCATCATAAAAATTTGAATGGATTGGAAACCTAAATAGATAGACAGAAATCCTGTACTTTATAATCAGGAGTGTAAATAAAATTATAAGAGGCAGCCTGGACAACCTGGCAATACCCCAAGTCTACTAAAAATACAAAAAAATTAGCTGGGTGTGGTGGCACCTGCCTATAGTCCCAGCTATGGATAATCACTTAAGCCCGCAAGGTCAAGATTTCAGTGAGCTAAGATCTCACCACTGCACTCCAGCACTTTAAGGTACCACCTGCCATCCTCATGACAGAGCAAGACCTACCTCAAAAGTAAGTAAATAAAATTATAAGAGGCCATTGGTTTGGACCGAACTATTCCAGTAGGCCCAAAAGACCAAACCAAATTGGAGTTATTCACCTTCCATAAGACCAAGCTGAAACTACGTTTATTTGACCTTCTGAGTAACCAGGAGAGACAGATAATAGCCGGTGTTAGGTGGCATAATAAGAAAGTCCCCTCTGCTTTGACATTTATAGGGAAAGTACTGAAATAACCAATCTGCTTTGTGTTCTCTGTTTTTGTTTTCCTCAGCCCTTTTCTATCTCTAAAGGCAACCTCCTTTGCTCAGCTCATCAACATGCTCATTCTGCTTTATAGAATAAGATGTGGCCCAATTTTAGAATAGAAAATAAACTGCAATTAATATTTATAAACTAAATTCATTGTAATTTTGTCTTTTGACAGTTCTTGCAACTGACAAAGGGACCTGAAGGACATTGCTGATGACTTCTGAGACTCCAATAGGAACATCAGAGAGGTGCCTCAGATGCTTTTTGAGGTCCTCAGTCTTCTTCATGAAGCCTCAAGGGTATACAAGTAAGTTCCTCTTAGGTGGACTCCCTTTTTCTCTTTGGCTTTTGAATTGAGAGTTAGTTTGTGCTGTGAGACAATGCATGACCTTTTAGGGTTTACAGTGGCTGACATGTCATTGGTAAGAGCAGCAGTTTTATCTTGGCTGGGCACAGTGACACCTACCTGTAATCCCAGCACTTTGGGAGGCTGAGGCAGTGGATTGCTTGAGATCAGCCTGGCCAATATTGCAAAACCCTGTCTCTACTAAAAGTACAAAAATTAGCCAGGCGTGGTGGTTGGCACCTGTAATTCCAGCTACTTGGGAGGCTAAGGCCCCCTGAGAGGCCTCGCCCAGGAGGTAAAGCTAAGATCACACCACTGCACTCCAGCTTGGGTGACAGAGCAAGACTGTCTCAGAAAACAAACAAAAAGAAAAAGAAAGAGAAGGGTTCCTGCGATATTGCCTAGGCTAGAGTGCAGTAGCCATTCACAAGCATGATCAGAGTTCACTACAGCCTCAAACTACTGGGCTCAAGCAATCCTTCTCCCTTTGCCTCCAAGTACCTGGGATTACAGGTGCATGCCATTAAGTCTGGCTTAAGAGCTGCAGGTTGGCAAGGGGCACTAAACTCATGTCTTTAATCCCAACACTTTGGGAGGCTGAGGTGGGCAGATCATGAGGTCAGAAGATTGAGACCATCCTGGCCAGTGTGGTGAAACCCCATCTCTACTAAAATACAAAAATTAGCTAGGCATGGTGGCATGCACCTGTAATTTTAGATACTCAGTGGCTGAGGCAGGGGAACCGCTTGGACTTAGGAGATGGAGGTTACAGTGAACCAAGATTGCATCACTGCACTCCATCTCAAAAACATTAAAAAAAAAAAAAAGAGCTGCACAGTATTTCTGGTTTTGTTTGTTTTTGTTTGTTTTTTGTTTTTTGAGATGTAGTCTCATGCTGTCACCCAGACTGGAGTGCAATGGCATGATCTAGGCTCACTGCAACTTCCACCTCTTGAATTTAAGTGATTCTCTTACCTCAGCCTCCCAAGTAGCTGGGATAACAGGTGATCACCATCAAACCCAGCTAATTTTTGTATTTTCAGTAGAGACAGGGTTTCACCACATTGGTCAGGCTGGTCTCAAACTTCTGACTTAAGGTGATCCATCTACCTCTACCTCCCAAACTTCTGGGATTACAGGCATGGACCACCAAGCTTGGCCTTTCTTTTTTTTTTGTAACGTAGTCTTGCTCTGTCATCAGGCTGGATGGAGTGCAGTGGCACAATCTTGGCTCACAGTAACCTCCACCTACTGGATTCAAGTGATTCTCCTGCCTCAGCCCCCCAAATAGCTGAGATTACAGGCACACGCTACCATGCCGGGCTAATTTTTGTATTTTAAGTAGAGGTAGGGTTTCACGATGTTGGTCAGGCTGATCATCTCCCGATCTTGTGATCCGCCCTCCTTGGCCTCCCAAAGTGCTGGGATTACAGGCATGAGCCACTGTGCACAGCCTTGATTTTGTTTGTTTTTTACTTATTTACCTTGCTTATGGACTCAGGTAACAAGGAGCTGCATTTTAAGATAGTGTTGCTCTAAGTGGTTATTACCGCAGGGGGCATGAACGCTGGCTTTTGGAATTGGTTGGAATTTGGATTCAATCCTTTTTGTTACATTTTCTCGCATGCTTACATTGGGCAAGTTGGTCAAGGGGATCTCAGAGCCAAAGCCACCATTTGACTGGTGGGCACACTTCAGGTACTTAAGAGCTATTAGAGTGCTGGCCCCTAAAAAATGAGACTCCATGTTAGTATAAACTAGAGATGAAACAAGGTAGCACCTGCCATCCTCAATAAAATGTTTGTGCTGGCTGGGTTCAGTGGCTCATGCCTATAATCCCAGCACTTTGAGAAGCCGAGTGGGGTGGATCATGAGGTAAGGAGTTCAAGACCAGCCTGGCCAACATGCTGAAACCCTGTTTCTACTAAAAATACAAAAATTAGCTGGATGTGGTGGTAGGTGCCTATAATCCTAGCTACTCAGGAGGCTGAGGCAGGAGAATTATTTTAACCTGGGAGGCAGATGTTGCAGTGAGCTGAGATGGCGTCACTGCACTCCAGCCTGGCAGCCTGGGGGACAGAGCAAGAATCTGTCTTGAAGAAAAAAAAAAGATCAAAAGAATGGAAATAATAACAAACAGTCTTTCAGACCACAGTGCAATCAAATTAGAACTCAGGATCAAGAAACTAACTCAGAACCACACAACTTCCTGGAAGCTGAACAACTGGATCCTGAATGTCAACTGGATAAACAATGATATGAAGGCAGAAATAAAGATGTTCTTTGAAACCAATGAGAATGAAGACACAACGTACCAGAATCTGTGGGACACATTTAGAGCAGTGTCTAGAGGGAAATTTATAGCAATAAATGCCCACATGAGAAGCAAGGAAAGATCTAAAATTGACACCCTATTATCAAAATTGAAACAGCTAGAGGAGCAAGATCAAAAAAAACTCAAAAGATAGGAGAAGACAAGAAATAACTAAGATCAGAGCAGAACTGAAGGAGACAGAGACACAAAAAAAACCCTTCAAAATAAATCAATAAATCGAGGAGCTGTTTTTTTGAAAACATCAACAAAATAGACCACTAGCCAGATTAATAAAAAAGAAAAGAGAGAGGAATCAAATACATGCAATAAAAAATGGTAAAGGGGATATTACCACCAATTCCACAGAAATACAAACTACCATCATATATTACTACAAACAACTCTATGCACATAAACCAGTAAACCTGGAAGAAATGGATAAATTCCTGGACAACAGCACCCTCCCAAGCCTAAATCAGGAAGAAGTTGACAGCCTGAATAGACCAATAACAAAGGCTGAAGTTGAGGCAGTAATTAATAGCCTACCAACCCAAAAAGCCCAGGTCCAGATGGGTTCACAGCCAAATTCTACCACACATACAAAGAAGAGCTGGTACCATTCCTTCTGAAACTATTCTAAACAATACAAAAAGAGGGAAGCCTTTCCAAATCATTTTATGAGACCAACATCATCCTGATACCAAAACCCAGCAGAGATTCAAGAAAAAAGTAAAACTTCAGGCCAATATCCATGGTGAACATAGATGCAAAAATCTTCAATAAAATACTGGCAAACCGATTGCAACAGCACGTCATAAAGCTCATCCATCACGATCAAGTAGACTTCATCTCGGGGATGCAAGACTGGTTCAACATATGCAAGTCTGTAAACGTAATCCACCACATAAACAGAACCAAAGACAAAAACCACATGATTATCTCAATAGATGAAAAGAAGGCCTTCAACAAAACTCAACAGCCCTTTATGCTAAAAACTCTCAAGAAACTAGGTATTGATGGAACATATCTCAAAATAATAAAAGCTATTTACAACAAACCCCGCAGCCAATATCATACTGAATGGGCAAAAACTGGAAGTATTCTCTTTGAAATATGGCACTAGACAAGGTTGCTGGCTCTCACCACTCCTATTCAATATAGTATTAGAAGTTTGAGCCAGAGCAATCAGGCAAGAAAAGGAAATAAAGGGTATTCAATTAGGAAAGGAGGAAGTCAAATTGTCTCTATTTGCAGATGGCATGATTATATATTAAGACCCCATTGTCTAAGTCCAAAATGTCCTGAAACTGATAAGCAACTTCAACAAAGTCTCAGGATACAGAATCAATGTGCAGAAATCACAAGCATTTCTATACACCAATAACTGACTAACAGAGAGTGAAATCAAGAGTGAATTCCATTCACAATTGCTACAAAGAGAATAAAATGCCTAGGAATACAACTAACAAAGGATGTAAAGGACTGCTCAAGGAAATAAGAGAGGACACAAACAGATGGAAAAACATTCCATGCTTATGGTGAGGAAGAATCAATATCATGAAAAAGACCATACTACCCAAAGTAATTTATAGATTCAATGCTATCCCCATCAAGCTACCAATGACCTTCACAGAACTGGAAAAAACACTTTAAACTTCATATGGAACCAAATGAGAGCCTGCATAGCCAAGACATTCTAAGCAAAAAGAACAAAGCTGGAGGCATCATGCTGCCTGACTTCAAACTATACTACAAGGCTACAGTAATCAAAACAGCATGGTGCTGGTACCAAAACAGAGATATAGACAAATGGAACAAAACAGAGGCCTTGGAGGCAACACCACACATCTACAACCATCTGATACTTGACAAACCTCACAAAAACAAGCAATGGCAGGGGGAAGAAGATGGCTGTTTAGGAACAACTCAGGATTGCAGCTCCCAGTGAAAGCGCAGAGGGTGAGTGGACGCCGCATTTCCAGACAGATCTTTATTGCTTACAGACCAGGAGATTCCCAGGCGTAGGAGCCCCACGGGTCACCAGCACGGCTGTTTTGGCTGGCACGGCTGTTTTGCTGGCGCCCCGGCATGGTGGTTCTCCATAGAAAATACACTGGTCTAGTTGCCCTTTTAAGCTGGAGCTTAATTGGAGATCTGGGAACAGAGATTCGTCCATTCATCTGATTAAACAGGGGACTGAAACAGGGGGTCAGACAAGGAGATTCCCGGGCAAAACACCACAAATCTCAGTGCCGATGTTTCAGCGGGCGCAGTGGGTAGCCACACGGGAAATCACACAGATCCTGGTGCCCTTTCAGCAGGCGACGGGAACAGTTGAGAGAGAGTCAACCATTCAACTTAAAAAAAAAAAGTCCCTGAACCTGGGACGGTCCAGCTCTGTGGGGGAGGGGCGTCTGCCATTACCGAGACACTCCAACCCTACGGAGGCAGCCTACCATTGCCAAGGCAACCCGCCATTGCCGAGGCAACCTGCCATAACAGAGAGAGTTCGCCATTACAGAGGCGGGCCACCATTGCCTAGGCAGTTCTAACCACACCAATATAAACAGGACTGCAGAGAAGTTCAAACAGCAGCAGGGCGAAGCCCACAGCAGCTCAACAAAGCCTCTGCAAGCAGACAGTGACT